CACGACCTCTTGCGTCCGACGCTCAAACGTGCCTTTGCGAAAGGACGTTTTAAGCGACTCGGTGAGGAAAACGGCAAAGCACATGATTCGGCCATTACGGGAACGAAATCACACAGAAAAACTGAGAGCTGCAGCCGTGTTGCCAGCGGATGTACATGTTTTCACCAAACCACATATATTTACATATATTAATAAAAACATAAACTTCAGGTATTTAATTCCTTTAGTTGCAAATCATTGTCAGCGGTACACATCTGGAATATTGTGCGATGTTTATGCACAAAACAGTTATTAGAAAAATACTTTTGCGGACTACTTTGTGGTGCTTTGGAATGCTCTTCTCGAAGTTGCGAACCGTCCTTCAACCTTCGGCTGCGCTCGGACGGAAGCTGAAACGAAGTATAGTCGCGGATGGAGTGAGAACGACAGGGAGCTGCTTCAGTTGTCCCGCCTCCAGCGTGAACTTCCTAGTTTCAATAACACCTGGGCATTTCATGGACATGCATCGCGTGCATGTGCAGCCAAAGCAGACCAGAAGGCATCGATCGCATGTTGAGGTGTTGGAGGCTCGGCATCTGAAACAGATACTTTGCCGTTCTCACGTGTTCGCAGTAAAATGCGCATCTAAAGTTTTTTTTTTTTTTCTTGATCTGCAATGTGGGGGGAGGGGGGAGGGGTCGATTTACAATCGTGCAAATATGGTGCTGCTTGCTTATTTGGAGACTAGTAGCAATCCAATCAAACGTCGCCTAAATGCAAAGCTGGTATAAGACAACTAAATAGGCAGGACAACGCATTCACAAAAAAGCATCCCTTCCCAAAAATTCTTAGTTATCCTGGGCGTTTATTTTTGGCTCCTGACAGAAGTAAAGGTTGAGGAAAATGCAACCAGACTAAATTAGGGAACCACCCAGCCTAATACAGCTGATCAGGTCACAACTGGTTGTTGTCAGGCTAACCATATTGCCGCTGCCTGGAACTTTTCTTCTTTAATGAATGGAGATATTGGCCGCTTTAAAATGCAGCCGGTTACCAATGATAATGAAGTAAGTTATAGTGCAGGACCGGATATAACGCAGCTTTTTTCAGCCACCGATCCGCCTCTCATACAACTCCATGTAACTACATACTGCTTAAAATGCAGGCATGCAAAGGGAAATACCGTTTATAGTGCAGTTTCTGGAACAGCCCACCGATCGACCGGCACAGCAAGCACGCTTCCCTGTGCGACACCAGATAACTGTGCAAACGAAACTCACAAGGGCAAGGAAGGCAACGAGGTTGCGTGGAAGAAGCGAGGAGACGCTAATGAAGAGGCGAGAAACGAATGACGACGCAGTGAGTTACGACGCAGTGAGGTGCAACATACACACACACTTGCTCAACTTGGAAAGCCCCAACGAGCCACAGTTCACTGGATTTACTCATTATAATAAAAGCCTTTCGCCCTTTCCATTTCACCCCCTCGCTCGAGTGACACAAAACCAACTTCCTTTCTTACACCGTGTGCAAAACGAAGGGTGGATAGCTAGATAGTTCCTAGTTTCGCTCCTTGCAGCTTGCTAGCTTGCTCCACGTCTGCTTGGACAGCGTGCGGACCACATCGAGCATATCGTGCGGAAATCGACCGTCCATCCCGATCTGTCCCTGTCTCCAAAGTCCAAGATGGCCAAGAAACGACAACCCTGTCTCTCGGAACTAAACACAGCATCGTCAAAGATGTTGAAAGTGGCACGAAAAAAGCTTCCATCGTGGCCAAGTACAACGTTGCTGACACGACGGTTCCTACTGTCTGGAAAAACCGGGAGCAGATACAGAAGCAGCTACAGCAAAATTCCGCGTTGCTCTCAAGCAAGAGGATTCGTACGTCAAGTATGAGGATGTCAACGAAGCTTTGTTTAGGTGGTTTCGCAAAGCCTTGTTTAGGTGGTTTTGCAAAGTGCAAGCCAAGAACGCCCCAGCGAGTGGCCCAATGCTACAAGCAAAGGCTAGGTTTTTTGGGCATTTGTTCGAACACGACGGCTTTAACCCCCTCAACGGAAGGATTCAGCGGTTTAAAGACTGCCACGGGATTAGCTGCAAAGTTGTCTCGGTCGAAAGTGGGGAAGTCGAGGACGCCAGCATCCAGGTGTGGTTTCGGATTCATCTCGGGATGATGCTTTCCACTTACGCGGACAAAGACATCTATAATGCCGATGGAACTGGTCTGTGCAACAACATGCTTCCCGATTGCACTATCGCGATGAGAGGTGAACCCTGTTCCACAAAGTCTCAAAGGAACGTGTCATGGTTTTGTTTTGTGCAAACATGGACGGCTCCGACAAGAGTCACTTGTTTATCATCGGGAAATCAAAACGACCCCATTGCTTCAAGAAGCGAGAATGTCTGCCTGAGGTGTACACAGCAAATGGAAAGGCCTGGATGACCTAACAGTTCTTTGCTAGTTGGCTGAAAATTTTTGATGAGGCTATGGTTACGGAAAAACGTCGCGTCATTCTTATCCTGGACAACCGCAGCGCTCACAATGTGCAGCCGCAATTAAGCGCAGTCAATTTGAACTTCCCGCCGGCAAACACCACTGCTAAAAGCCAGCCTCTCGATCAGGGACTCATCCCTACAGTCAAGACGCTCTACAGGTAGCGCATGTGCGAAAGAGTCGTCTTGAAATTGCAACGAGAAGGATTTATCGAGGTGGATTTGAGGGGTGCCATCGACACGACCACCGAGTCGTGGTGGCAAGCAAAAGCCACAACCATCCAGAAGTGTTTTCGCAATGCAGGGTTTCTGCGCGATGCCAGGAATTCGGAGGACGCCGATCGGCGCAGCGATGCGATTGACAAGGCAATTGGCGCGGACGACATGCGGTCCGACCTTGTGGAAAAGCACTTTCTTCCTGCAAACGGCACGTTTCAAAACTATGTAGATCAGTGTGACGATGACTCTTTTATAAATGAGGAAGCAACCACCAATGAAGCTATTGTTGCAGCGGTGCAAGGTTCTAGGGCAAATCCATCCGAAGATGAGTCGGACGACGACGAAGAGAGCACGCCGGAAGTTTCGAGTAAAGACGAAGTGGAATTCTTACATAAGCTGAAGGTTCACTGTGAGCAGAACTCCTTCAGTGATGAGGTCTTCAAATGCCTTAGTGTTATCGAAGAGCAGGTCGTCCGCAACGCCGTTAAAAGGCAGCACCAGGAAAAAATCACTAACTTCTTTCAAAAAGGGTGACACGTTTGAGAGAGAAGTGTACTACTCTAGTGAAATAAGAATTTTCTTCAGACTGAGCTTTATTTTTCATCTAACATAAAATAAATTGTTTTACAAAGGTATGTTGTCTCATGGCATGTATTTTGACCTGAAAAATTGGTGGATTGGTTATAGCGCGGTACTGCTTATTTTTGCGACTCCTGTGACATATGTTATATGCGGTCTACACTGTATTTATAATTGTTGCCTCGAACCTATGGGAGTGAACTAGGTTTGAACTTCGTTGAACTTTCGTTCACAAGTTGGAAGTTCTTCAAACTTTTAAACTCAGCAGGTTTCAAAGCTCGAAAACCATTGGATTTCTTAGCATAATAAGCCTAAAAGTTTGAAAATGTGGAATTTCATACCGCGAAAAATCGGAAGTTAAAAAAAAATATCGAACTTTTCAGCGCCAAAATTTAAAAGTTTGAAAATCGTTGAATTGTTTATGTAATTAGTTTGACGTTTTGAAACTGCAAACCTTTCGAACTCCTTGCTTCAATCTTCAAACCACAGGCTCAAAACAAGTTTGCGACATCTCTAGTTTTGAGTTTTCCACAGTGTTCCCGTGCAAACTTGAAAGCTGCTGTCGCTGCTTTTTGGGCTCTCTCGCTTTCGTCAAATGACCACTTACAGAAAACTTTTTTTCCCTCCATTGGCTTTATTATAACGAGGGAGTACTGTACTTGTATCAGAAAGCAAAGGCCCTGATAAGATAAATTTGTTAACATGGCAAGAGAAGCAATGACTAGCTCATTTATTTAAATATTAATTGAGCCTTCGCTTTTTGGTGCTGTCCATTAAAATCAGGTGTTGAAGTATGAAATAATGACCAAAGAAAGCTGATCCACAACAGTGTGCAAAATTACCGAGACGATTGAGCCCCACGAGATATGCTCCAACATGCCAGCAGTTCCTCGTGGCATGCTGGCAAATTGACTGGTTCTTTCCAAGGGCATGCCTTCCTCTCCGAGTGCTCTTGCCATTGGAGTAAGGAGCGGTGCAGACAACATTTAGTGTTGTTGTCAACAGTAGCGGCGGGAGTATGCGGGGTCTGGCAAGATCGCGATAAAATCCGGCTCTACAAAGTGGCTGTGCATTTGACGGTGCGAGGATTACAATGGACAGGACGACATTCGCTCGTGGCAATTACGATAAAAATCCGCACGAGAAGTATTTGCAGTTTCTAGCTTTTACAAGACCGTTCACCTCACAGCGGTGGACATACTAACCCTGACCAATGACGAAACAGGCCGCGGCATGTTCACCAGATTTTGTGGACGTTTCGAGAAATTTTCAGGTTAGGTAACAGTTTCTAAAGAATGTGTGCCCTAAAATTAAGGGGGCTCGACCATCATTTACAGTGGTTTGTATCAGAAGGTGATATATATGTCTTGTAAGTAATGCTTGCACACACAAAAAAAAAAGAAAAAAAAAAGAAAAAAAAGAAGTGGTCTATTTATTGTTTTGTATTTGCCAGCTCCGTCATACAGACGACAGCTATCGTACCGCGTTCACTGTAGGTACGCAACGGGTGCACAGGCAGGCGCAACGAGTGCATGTGCAGTACCCAAACGCGGTGTGGGCAAACGGGGGCTTGTTTATAAGTAGCACGTTGGCATAGGACAGCCCCTTGGTCCGCATTCCGTGAAATATGGACTTTATACGATGGACCAGGGCAGTCCATTTTTTTTTTTCCAGACCAGTCTGGCTACAAGTGTGTCTAATTTACTTCGACCGGTGCCTATGCTCACCTTCAGTTTTCCCAGAAACTTTGGGTTGGACAAACTGGGGGCTTCCTTGGCCTCTGCCGACCCATTGGGCAGCAAGGACGGTGGGGCTGCCGGTTTGGGGGCTGCACTGCCGAAGCCAAAGTTGGCAAACGGACTGGACGCTGCCTGCAAGAAACGACGACATTGTACAGAAAGAGGCTAGGCAGAGTTGTGCATAAGTAAAGGACAGTCATCAACAAAAGGAGGTGGGAGGAAGCATTAAGGCGAGAGAACAGCAGTGGTCGAACGCAGGACGAGAGCATTTGCGGATGCATTGCCTCTAGCCGACCGTAAGTCGCAAATCATCCCTAAGGGGTAGCAGTAAGCCAAAACAGGTAGCCCCAATCAGCCGTTATAGTTTAAAGGGGTAGAGCAAGAATTTTAAAGTTGGAAGGATTTGCAGCTCACATGATTTCATATCGTTTGAGAGAAAACATGTTACATATCCCCGAAGTACTGCGATTTCACTGCCTAATCACGAAGAAAAAAAAACTTTTTTTTTCCCAATTTGCAGTTACCCGTAGTGGTCGTCGTAACTACAGCGTGATGTCATTCAGGGTACAAAACTTTCTGTGGCGCCATCTGCCGGAAGTTGACAAAATCATTTCCCCTCTGCCATCGTCCTCCCTGTGACGAGCAGTCTTTTGTCTCGATCGTTCACTGTGGCCTTCAACGATGCTAAGCCACTGTAGCCGAATCGGAGCTCCAAAAGCCGACAATTGCGAAGGAAGGGGGCACCGAAGATGTGCTCTGCGTCACAATAATTTAATGAACTGTGGAGGCTGCAGCCTCCACGACCCAATAAGAGTGTCGGAGCAAGCTACGTGATAACACTCTGAGATCAAGGCCATGAAGACCGCATTACCGCCACAGAGATGGCACCGTCCAGGGGAAAAAAGTAGTTTTAGGTTTTATTTCATTTTAAAGGTAAATGAACTCGAGAGGTTTCATCTCTATCGGGAACTGATACAAAATTAAGTAATAAATATTGAGGAATTTATAAGTTTCAATTATATTTAAACCAAAAAAGTGACAGAACATCTGTACCCGGTCCCGAATTTTTTACTTTTTTTTCTCCTTGTAGTGTTGTGGTTGTTGGTAATTGCAGCCGTGTAATCGACCACTCACGCCCAAAACGTTGCTCTGGCATTACCACACGCCAGAGATTCAAAGGTAAATTTAGCGCACGGTTGTCTCTTTAAAGGGGCGGTGCAACGATTTTATGATTAAAAGGATTTGCATCTCGTCACTTTTACGTTGTTTATCGTGTCCCAGAGGATAGAGAAAACACTTCCTTCATTAAAAATGTCGCGATTCCGCTGCATAATCGCAAAGCAAAAGTCGAGCTTTTTCCCCCACCTGCAGCCCCAAGTGGCAGCCGAAGGAACTACGGCGGAAAGATTACGTGACCTCGCTCGGCTCTAAGCTGCAGCCTAGCGCCCGCTAATGTACGCAGAGAGAGGGAGGGGAAGCGTCCCTCGAGATAGCACACGGGAAGCTACACGGCACTCCGAATGACGTCACTGGGAGTGCGACCAGGTGTGACCCTGAAGACTGGGAGTGAGTTGAGGGGTGCCCGAAATGCCAGTCTTTATCTTTTTTTTACGCAACAACTAGGACACGCAGGCGAAATCGGTTTTCTGTTCTTTACTTCAGAAGTGTCAGGGGGCAACTTCCAGAAATCTTTGACCGAAGTCCGAAAATCGTTGCACCGCCCCTTTAACTGTACCTGAAGAACTCGCTACTCCGACGGACGGCAATGTTGCGGTGGTGGACGTTCATCCGAAATTTGTTGGTTTCGCAGCAGACGACTCTCAGCCGGCAGATGACTGACAAATATTACGAAAGCCAACACTAGTGCTTTTAATGAGACACTGCTCTTCAGCGGCGTTGAAACTATACTCGTTTTCACCTCAAGAAGCGTAGTAAAAAAAGTATGGCTTCTTGCGGAGGATTACTAATTTCCCCTTTTACGCAGATAATAAAAATATATGCAGGTGCATTTTAGATTAGACGCATGTTATCTTATCAAGACGTATCCGTTTCAAACGCCAAGAGCATTGCTTCTTCCTCTGACAACCAAATCTTGTAAGAACTACTTCGCGCGGCGTATGAACATTGAGCAAAACGTCCTTTTTTCTTGGGGTGAAAACGGGTATAGAGTTAAATGAAAGTTTGCTGCTCATCGATTCAACAGCTGCACAAGCACTACCGTATTTATTCAAAATAGACACCCATGGTTTTTTTTTGGTTTCTTATCTTTTGTTTCGCCTATTTCCTTTTTTTAATTATTACATGAAGACAAAGAAGGTTGATCTGTAATAATCCTAAAAATGAATTCCGTGCCTCTTGCCCTAACCCTCCAGCAGGACAGCCGCTGCTCCTAGCACTCCGGTGCAAAGCGGGGAAGCCCGACGCATGCACGCTCATCTGTGGTGAGATGTAGTGAAGGTTGACGGGAGCGGCGGAAGTGTCACGGTACTCTGCAGTCACGGCACGAAGGCATGTGGCAAACATGATGATCGAGTGATTTCACCAGGAGCACAAGATCCTGGTTCTGTCTTATCACAGTATATCACCACCATACTATTTTGCAAAGTTTTCTCGAGACTTTTAGTTTGTAACCTTGCAGACATTCTCTTGTAATTTAGACGATGTCGACGATCAACTGGCCAGCGCATCAACCGGCCAGAGCGACTGACAAACAATCCCTATACTTCGTTTCACCTGAAGTCGACGCTACGGACGACTCTACGAGCCAATGGAACCAATCAAACAGCATAAAAGTGCGACATCATGTCATTTATCTCCCTAAGCGTGTTTTTTTCGTCGGCTAAACCAATCGGGCGCAGTGAATGCCCCGTGCTTCACGTTTTTAGTATGTGTGTTCGAGGTTCAGGGGGTGGAGCCCATAAATAAATTTGGGAGCAGCCACGGAAGCAGGTGAAACAGCTGTTTTGGAGCAGACTGGGAGCCGCTAAAACTACATTCTGGAGCAGGCTAGGAGCAGCTCAGATCAGTTGTCACTGCACTTCAGCTTGTGTCTTAGACAAGCCCAGGAGCAATTTCAATTGTGCTTAGCAGCACAGTTGAACATACATGTTTAGGGATCTAGGTAGATGGGATAACAGTGTAACAGATGCGAAAACTTGCCCATAAGGGCTTTGCGAGCCCTTAAGGCTCGCAAAGTTTCAAGTTTTCGCATCTGTTACATGCGAAAACTTGAAACTTTGCGAGCCTTAAGGGGGGATCTACCTGGGCATGTTTACTTTTGAACCGCTAATTCAATTGGCGTGAAATTTGGAGGTGGTGTTTGTAGCCATATAGAAGGAGGGCATGCAAAGTTTCAGCCCTGTGAACTAATTTTATGAGGTTCTATAACACCCACAAATGAAGTAAAGCATAGCTTTGCATGGAATCTGCCTAATGAATCTATCGTTGAGAAATGGTGTTGATCACCACACATTTTTCTGGCGGAATGCATACTGAAATAGTTGTTGCCGATTACTATAAAAAGAAATTTAAAAGAAAACACACATTTTTCAAGTAAAAAAAAATTTATGAAATTTTTTTTTTTTTTTACATTTGCTAAGTTTTTCAAGATAAAGGAAGATAAAAATGTAAAATCTAAGTTCATAGTACCCGGCTCAATGAAGTTTCGGCATATAATCCGCAAATATTAAGTCTCTCGGTAGTTTCATACTGAAACAATGGTTTTATTAAGGCGGGATTTGCTACCAAAAAGAGATGCTGAGATAAATGCACTCAAAGTTTCAAGATGACGTTTTAAAAAAAATTTTTTGCATCTTAAATGTCAGAAATTTTTTTCAGCAGAGAAGGTAATGTTCTCCTCAAACTTCTTCTAATATACTGACATTGCTTTCAGCTATTTTCACTTGTGGATGACAAGTGCTACGCAGTGCAGCATGCCTCACCAACATATAAAGAATAATTATTTTTGACATTGTTTGTCAGTGCACATTGACGAGACTTCGTGAGAGTGTTCCTTGTTATCCATACATGCCAAAGTTCTGCAGTTCTGAATATGCATTTTTTGGAAAAAAAAAGGTGCAATTCAAGGTAGTATCCCCCTTAATGAGAACCAAAAAACAAGTACCACATGTTTCTGAAGCTAGTGTCCGTAATAGTTTCTCAGTGGCTTTTAGCGGCTCAAAACGCAAACCAGCACTGCTTATTGCACAACCCACGTGCTCGACATAGTTATTATATGTGTCAACCACGTGAAGTGCGTAAGCAACGGACGTGCAGTTGTGCGGAGGAACAGGGCAAGAAATTTCGAGTTTATCCTATTGTGCAATTCAATATTGAAGCAACAGACTATGATTAACGTAGTTATTGTATTCGAAGCGATAAGCAGGAGCAACGTTGAAGTACGCTGAGCAGATCTACCGCTCGCGTGAGAGCTGCTGGCCAGCAAGGTTTGGGATTAGAGTGCGTTTCAGTTCCATCAAATCACGATTTATGTTGCGGGAATGCGGTTCCAACTTTAACGATCAAATACTAAAAGGAATCTTTTGCTCATTTGTTTTCAACTGGCTGACGTCCGGATACCGGGCCGCAGAGCCTCAGGCAATCACCTCACTTTGGCCGACTTGCTTAACCGCTCCGACCCCCGAGTTTTTCTGTGCGCTTCCGACTCGGGATACACAGGGAAAATACACACAACAAAGAATTGCAAGGCCAACTAAGCTAAATGCGCTCATTGGTGCCAATCGAGTCGATAGAAACCGAAACCAAGACAAAATGCAATTTTTTTTTTGGCCGCACGTTGTGCGATTTGGTGCATAATGGCGCGAAGTATTGGCTGTGGCGCAGTTTCCACAAAATGGCGCAGAATGGTGCAGACAAATGAGTCTGGCGCAAAATGGCCTAAAATGGCGCAAGCGCTCCACCCCTGAGGTTGTATGCAATCGAGCTTTCAATTGTGCTCAAGCCTCAGATGAAACCATATATATATGGCGAGTAGAGACGCCGTGAAATATATTCGCACCATTTTTTTTCCTTCTACTTTTCTAAATGTCACGGCCGACTAATATTTAATTATTTTTATATTTTGCTTTAAGCGCATTCTGGCGCAGTTATGACGCAATTTTGAGCGAAAATGACGCTTTGGTACGAGTGTAGCAGACTTTCGTTCATGGTACAATTAGGCGCAGCACTTCCATCACTGCAAGAACTATGCAGTAACACTGGATCAGTAACTCCCTGTGCATGTACAATCAAAATAAATTGAAGGTCACATAATATAGTCAGATTCTTAAGTACTGGCTTATTCTTTCTGCCCCGCGAAGATGCTTGTTCTACGTTCAAAACATCACCCACACGTTTGAAATCTTTGAGAACAAGCTCTTCATAAAAGCCGCCCGGCAAAAAACATAATACAAAGAGACACCTTTCCTAGCCCACCTACTTTATTTTTTCTTTCAGACGTTTTTTTGATGCACAACAGGGTCATTTTTATATAGTGACAGGACTGGCATATTAGCGATATGCATCGAAGGAATAGTGGCGAACCTTGAACATACTTTCTATTGCTTTCGATAGGTATTTTGCTTAGAATTGTCACTTGGTTTTAACCACCTACTGAGGAAATCAGGTTTCGGCTTGAAATATAGAGAAGTTAAACATTGTTCACTAACGAAGAAAAATGTAATAACTAAAGCAATTACACTTTTGCTATGTTAATAAAGGTACATACTATTTGGTACAACCCAAAGAACAAAAGTGTTCCATGTTACTTCCGGCGAAGAGACAAAATACATGCACACTTTTCCATAGGAATGCACAGGAGCACTGCAAAAGTAGACTGGTTGCGACCCGAATTTCGTATAGACACTAGCGCCAGCTGAACTTCTAGCGTCAATTATAATAACTTTATGGTTAAAGGAAGTCGCATAATGCACACTCAATTAAAGTAAGAACCTACGGGTGAATTGGAGACGCTGCGCCTTCCAACCTTGATGACCCTGCGCTTCAGCTCATCTGTGTCGGCCTGCTTGAACTTGCCAGGGTCCTCTGCCTCCTCCTCGTCATCGTTGTCCCAATTGTCGTGGTTAATCTCCTTGTCCGCACGTCGCTTTGCCATGGCCTCCTACCTGCGAGCCCGACAGCACTGCTTAGGGCGGAGTCGCCGCATTTATTTATTTATACGTAACGAGCTACACTTTGGAGTGACGACGTGTCAGCAAAAAAAGTAAATTGTTGTGCGTATGTTTATACAGCCGGAAATTTGTCTGCCTCCGTGGGAGTCTGGTGTCTCGGCTAAAGATGAGCAATTTAGCCAGTGCGGTACACAGTCTGGGGTCTTTAACGTGCACCACGCAGTAGTGATACACGACCGCACGCTGCTATCATTGCTGCCGGCCATATGAACCTTGGATCGGAAATCGTAGGAAACACTCTTCCGTTCTTTGAAATGTTAGAAGTTTGTGACGGAGTGAAACCACACAGCATCTCAAACTTGGGAAGCCGCATTTTCTAGTCGTGGTTATCGCCAATTGCACCCGCTCCGCACAAACCATAAAATTAGCAGTGCTCACAAGGACAGCGGGGTGTCAATGCCCCAAGCGCAGCTCATTCGGCGGACCTAGGTTCGTATAATAAATCTAGAGGACAAGGTCCACCAGCGTCCCACACATTCCGGCTGCCTCGGAAACGCAAAGCATAGAGGCAGACGGTGGTGGTGGAATCGGATCTCTGGCGAGGCCTAGATAAAGGCAAGGCAGCAGAAAATTACTGCTAGCAGAGTCGGTTCTTACCATAAAACACCGAGCGTGCACCCGCGTCACAAAGAGTGACGCGGGTGCATGCTCTCCGCCTCGCCGCCTTGAAGGAGCGAAGCAAAGAGAGGACGAAACAAGTTATCTTCATGTCACGCGCCTTGGCGGCCTGGTTCAATCTCGACCACTTTTTCCCAAAATACGGCCGTCCATTTGAGATATCGCCTTCCGAGTAGTGTTGTAGGGATTGTAGCGTCCCACCTACACCTCCTGTATTGCTTTTTCTAAAATTCAAATTTCGGTTCACCATCACTTTAAAGGGGCACCAAAGTAGATTCTGAGATTGTCCTTTTGTGGTGACAACTCAATCTAGACGCTCTAAGCATCCCAACAAACCAGAAATCACAATCATTCGCGTTCAAAGATCGCAACACGCCCTTTTTCGGAAGAATTTTTTTCTGAGTGAAGTGGTTGACAAAGGGTGCTCACCGCGGCGAAGCAATGGCTTCGCCCGCGGTGAAAAAGAGGAGTCTTATTGGAATGTGTGCCCACCAGACTTTCTTTGAAACAGGTTGTAATAAAATCATTTGGAATCTCTGTGTGTTGAAGGGCTTTCATTAATCCAAACAGTGTAGTCTACGAGAGAAAAAAAAAAAAAGTCCATGTTTTCCTCTTGCCTCGAGATGAATAGGTGGTTTTACATTATAGGCCTTGGTATATGCAAGAACTAACACCTGTTAAAGAATACAAGATCAAGGACAACCTTTTTCAGAACTTACTTCAGTGCCCCTTTAAGACTGCTTACGTGTAGGAAGGTGAAAGCATTATAGTCCCACAGGAGAAATGTTTGCAAGTAATGTTTGTAGACATATTAAAGTTTAGGACGACATCCTAGAGATTGACACCAAGTACAGCGTCTAGGACGACCTCTCGGACGAAGCCTGGGAGGACCTTACAGGCCGACGACCAGACTCGAGATTCTGCAAGGCAGAACATTCTTCTCACCGTAGGGGAGGAGGAAACAGGCAACGCTGGACAGGGTAGGAGAAGGGAGAGGAGGAATCGTGGGAAAAGTGGAAAGCGCGAACTGGTCGTCGGCCTTTAAAGACAATGTCGAGAATGACACCTAGAGGACGACGCCTGGAGGACAACGTTTAGGACGACCTCAATGATGGCATAGTCCTTCAGCATACAACTGAGCGGCGCATGCTTGATGACATATTTTTATGGCCATCGCTCGGGCACAACGACGTCGTTTAATCGCTGAATGGGACAAGTAAGGCTTTCACCTTATTAAGCAAAAAATGTCTGGTGTCGGTGCTAAATACCGACACCAGACTTTCGTGCCCACCTAGCTATCCCACACGCACCTCCGTGTCAGCCGCTTTTCCGAGCACACCGATGTAAAGAGCTGGAGCCCACACCACCGCGCGTCCCTTCTACATTTTGCGCACAGATGAAACAGGTGCACTCCCCCAGTGTTTTAAAGATTATCGACAAAGTTTGGGTGGGTGCTTGCTCGGTACTTTAAGGTAGCCTCTTGTAGCTTTATTTCGCAGGGAAACACTGGCATCTTGCAATGTATGAAGACAAATTAATGCCAATCAGCATTTGAAGGACCTCAACAGTCGCGATAAAACAAATGCACCCAACGATTAGTCTGCTCTCTTTCACTGCTCTTTTGTCACTAACTTCTTCACTCTTTCACTATGTCAGTGCTTACGATTTGCCGTGCTGCTTTACTGTGCCTCTCTGAGGCCAAGATGTATGATGTCCCCCTTTTCATAGTAATGGCCTCGACACAAAATACAGCAGCAACATGAAATAACACAGCTAGCATTCACAACGCAAGGGCGACAGAGGACGTAACATCGTCGCCAACTACGAAACACCCGGTGCTATGGGACGATACTGTATCTTCTTCGAATTTTTACAAAAAGCGTACGGATAAATGTCAGACGCAGATAGCAGCAAAAGATTCAATTCTGTTATGGAATAAAAAAAATATATATATTTTTTACTCTTTTGAAAAATCTGCAGACTTGATTGCACCACGTCCAGTGCCAGATGGGGCTACTTGGCAGCCCAACTTCAGCCTATGCATGTTTAACTGTGACAAATATAGGAGTGCTGCATCATTGTTTGCCTTGTGCTGGCGACTACGGATATTAAAAATCCATCAAGTTGTTAAGATATTATTGAACCAAAGTTAGAACAGTATCCAGCCTTTTCGACGCAACTGGTCCTTACAAAATGATAACAGAACCTCCTACAAAGCGTCAGAAAGACAGCCATTTGAGGGCTACCCGGGGAGGATCCCTTCACGTCAAGAAACTCGTGTAAGAATGTAGCTCGAACCTCCTAGTGTTCAGGTTTAACGAGTAGTCCGTTTGAATCATCTTGGCCATGATTGGACAGACAGCTATGACTACTGCTAGCGTGACTAAACAGTGATCACGCTAATGCATACTTTCGTTGATAAGATTTGCAACGCAACGCTGATTATCAGCTCCGAGTCACAAGGCAGCACTTGCGAATTGGGAACGAATGTATAACGGTATCGTGCAAAATAATCGAGCAATCAACTGGCCCCATCAGTATCTGTTTTTCCGCTTGCTTCGATTGACACACTTCAAGAACAGAAAGCGTTTGGAACAACACAAACAGGTAACAGAATATTAAGACAGAATAGGCGATCCGGGCGTACGGGCACAAGCCCGCGAATTGCACTCGGCCAATGAGCTAGCATTGTTACACCGGTCTGCATCGACCACATGGCCATTTCGGTTGTCGCATCCCCATAAACTAAAAAAAGATGCACGGGACTCGGAAGCAATACCACTACGGCGCTCCGAGTGATGAGTTCGAAAAGCGTAAATCGATAGAGAGAAACACATGCAGTCACCGACGGGGGAATCCCAACGCGGTTTGCTGCGACCGCTGTCGTCTTGGGCCGCCGAGTCGGTCAGAAAGCTGGCAGCCGGTGCTGGCCGAACGCGTGGAAAAAGAGAAACATCCCCCGTAACCTATCGGCATCGGACATGCGGCCGGGCAATGCGGAAAAGAATGCAATCAAACACGCACGAACCACCTGTCTCGGAGAAGTTGCTTGAAAATGCGCACTACTTGCACGATTGAATCCGCAACACACCGCTGGACCGCTGCGCGCAGGATGATGCGCGGAGGGGGGTGCTACTTTTCCCCACTTTTGCGCAGACCGAGAGAGTGACTCGAAAAGAAAAAAAAAATTACGAAGAAGGTGAAAAGAACCGAAGTAAGTCTGTTTTACGAGCAACTAACCTGGCTCTGTGGTTTGCAAATGCGCTTACCGTCGGACAACGGCGAAACCGTCTCGCGCAGTTTCAATCGCCACAAAGTTTGCGCGAGACGACGTCGAAATATTTCCACATCCGGGCACGGATCTTCGGGCAACTCTCCTTTATTTTTTTTTTTTCTCCGCGCGCCTCATCACGCACCCCGTACTTGTGAGAAGTAGTTCCTCCGCACCCTTCGATGATTTCTTAATTTCGTTTGGGGAAAAAAGGGTGGAAAAAGTTTATTGGAAATGCTTGGCAGCATCCGGCCAGCTGGTTAGTGGCCGAGAAGTCTCTCGTCGGTTTCCCGAGCTAGTTTCTTCCGACGAGCCCGAGTTCTTTGGGGCTCAGTAGTTCGTGCAGCGCGCTGCCCTAGGTAGGACGGCTGGCTCGGCCACTAGTTTTGCCCCCGGACTCGATGTAATTTGTGGCGTTTGTTGTGTGAACCTTCCTCTCTTCGTGTTTCGGGGAGTGTGTGCCTCGAGAGTCAAGCTGGATGCCTTTCAACTGACCGCCATGGAGCTGCAGAGCCTACAGAGCCAACTTAAAAGTGCCATTCAAAACCATCAGGTACGGCCGGACGTCTCTCGAGTTGATCCCAACTTGATAAATCTCGTCTTCGCTGAAGAAGACAAAATTTAAGAAAAAAATCGCTCGGTGTCTAAACGAAGGAGGCGTAAAGACGCACTCGTCTTCGTCTAAGCTCTGCGCGGGCTAGTTGTGGGAGTTGTACGGGCTTTTAGAACGCTAGTTTGCGATACGCCGCGAGGTTGTATCGACAGAGCGGGCGTCCCAACTTTGTTGACGTAGTTTTTTTGTTTTTTTATTCAAACATCGGCGTACCGCTGCGTGCACTTTGGGAGCCGCCGCCATACAGCGAGAAGTGGTCGCCGATCGGCCCAACTTTTCGCCGAGATTGTTCTCGCTTCTGACGAGGCGGACGGCGACTTTTTAATGCGTCGCGAGATAGTGGAGCAGTCGCCGTGCATTTGTTTGACACTGTTGGCGGAGTGCTGTTTTGGTTTTGTTGTTGATGGTTTTTGTCAGTTCTCCCGCATCGCATCACGTTCTCCCCTCTTCCATTTTCAGATCGTGCTGTCAAAAATGCGCACGGATCCCCAGGTAGGCTCGCATTATTTGTTTTCGCCTCACTTTGCTCGCGTCACTTGATTAGTAGAAAGATGGGAGCTTGGATGGGATCGGTTGTTGCCCGACAAGAGTCGGGCTTGTGCAACAGAAGGAAAGAAAAGAAAACAAAGCTCGACGTATGTAAGTCAGTGCGAGAAGTAAAGTGCAGCTTCTTCTCTATCGTTTTTTTCTTTCGTCGCTTTCCTCGCGTTGGTGCGACTGTTGTGAAACAAACCGTACATTCGCCGCGGGCAAGTTACGGCCGAATGTTTTGATGGGGGAATTCGTTTTCGATCGCAGAACACGGCGCTCCAAAAGCAGCTCCACGACTTGCAGGCCGATATCATGGCTCTCAGCGAGAAACAAGTGAGTACTCCGTGTCTGACCTTGAGCGGAGGTGCTGCACTGCCTTTTTAAAATGCTCAGCGCGACCGAGCGGGTCGGTGGTTGCAGTTTGAGCGTCTCTCGGGCGACGTGCCCTCTTCGCAGTTTCCTCGTCTTATGAGGCTTCGATCCGTCTCGGCAAGGCGAAAAGTTTGGTGGGTGTTCCGACGCGATCGGCGCTGTGGCGGTGGTCGTGAAAACAAAAACAAACACTCATGCCACTGTCCTATTTCGCATTTCTTCGCCCAGTTTTCGAGCTCAGGGTTGCTTTAACGTCTCAATAGGGGCGCCGTAAACTACGCTAATGTCAGGTGTCGTGACGTGTGTTAGGAATTTTGTTTACTTGTTGATAAAGAGCAGACTCGTGATTCTCACTCGACGAAATCAATCTTAGTTTTGTTTCGCGGATTTTTTTTTTTTTTTTACTGATTGTATTAGATAGTTTTCTTGTTTATGTTTCTAAAGTGCTCGCTTTGTAAGTCGAAATCAGTCGTTTTATGGGATCTTCGGAAGCTCGCTGGTGGGGCGCATACATGCATTTAATGAAGTTGTCGTGATGTGTTTATATTCGTTGCACCTATAACAAAGTCCCACGTATTCAAGGTTTGGAAAACTGTTGTCAGCGTTGCCAGCCGTCAAATTTTTTTGTTGTTTTGTTTTTCTATTTGACAAAACTGTGATTGCTTTGTTGGGTAATAGTCCCTGGCACAATCCCTCAGTGTGATTTATTGATCTTTTTTTTTTCTTTTTTTTTTGTGTACACGTTTGCAATTTTCGCACAATTTATTGCATTAGATGGCCATTACAAGACTATGAGTTGTGTCACATTATCGGCGTAAGGGTCTGATCACCGACTGAAAAATTTTAGCTTTGTTGGGGAATTTCAGTCGCCACAAAAGTTTCGCCAACCAATCAAGGGTTCAAATTACGCTACTTTTGGAATCATTATTTGCTGCGCGTGTTCAGAGGGCCTGACCACAATTTTTCAAAGTGCCGACATTTTGCGTTTATGGGTCAAGAATTTTGCAAGTATGAACTTCGTTAGGTTCTGTGGACTCGCACACCAACAGCTTCTGACCAATGTCTTTGTTTCTGTTTTTGTAAGTACATTTTTGCAAATTTAGGCATCCAGTGTAGCAGGTAGACTCACTTAAAAGATCTCTGGCATAGAATTTATGATTGCTTCTTTATTTTTACAGTAAAGTTAAAAGATAATTGATTCAACAACAAAAAGACTGATCGCAAAAAAAAAAAAAAGATATGCAAGTAAATACATTGGCAGTTTACCCCTAGATTTCCATTCTCCTCATTACAAAGCACGCTAAAGGATCGGACTGTTTGGCAAATTGGGGTAATAAGTCGCTGAATAGTCCGTTGTTTTTTTTTATAATAAGTCGGTGTGTATGCCGGCCTTTCCAACTAGACAGAGTGCATGTCGTGACTTTGTTTCTGGAACGAAAACTAAATGGCACGAGAAAGACGAGGACAAATTTTACATCTGAAACACCCTCTCATTTATTTAGTTTGCATACCGGCAGTTCTTTTCGGTGCTCTTGTAAAACTCCCAAGAGAAAAACGTTGAAAATAAATAAGGCTCTTTCACACACTTGCCACTGCATACGTGGCCTTTTTTGACGAGAGAACACTCTGGCGCCATAATTTAAACATATTTCCTTTTTTTTTCTTTTCGCTCGTCATTTTTTGTTTGTTGGCTCGAAAAACATCTGACAGGATTATAAGCGACCCTTTCTTGTAGATAGCATATACACCTCATCTCGCAAATATTGCAAAAGCTTTGCCGTAGTGAAATGCAGTTCATAGAGGGTGCCAGCGCATTCTCTCGTTGCAAGATATCGTGGGAGGTTGGAACGCCCTCGTTTGCGAGCGGTAGCAAGTGCACGATCCGGCCTACATGCTCCGCTACAAATCAATCAAAACGCTCCAATTCAAGTACGGAATGTGTCGGTCTTTTCAGCGCGGAATGCGTCGTACTACTGGATCCTGGCAGTTTCTACCAGTGCACTCCCGTCGCAGAACGGCAGCACGCGTCTGCTACGCCGGCTTTTGGCTGCAACTCGTGCTCTCGTCTATCTAACATGAGTCGACGCTAAGGTGGTGCCCATGTCCGGTCTGCATCCCGTTGCGCCGTCCGGTGGGCGATGAGAAAATCTGGCTCTGCTTGCACGTATGGCGAGAGACTGTGTGGGAGGCAAGGGGAAAGAGGACAAACGTGTACTTTGGAGGAATAGGGGAGAAGCAAAAGGGCGAAGCCAAACTTGGGGCGTGCGACCGCAAAAGTCACAACCTTCTCGCTCCGCTCGCACTGGCTTTGGCGGGGCTTTCTTTCGGAAGCGTGCGACAATGTTTTCACCGTTCGTGCACGAAGCGCATACCCGTACGTTAAGTGCGCAACGTTACCATGAAGCAATACCAAATACATTCTGCATTATCACTGCCTCTGCTGCGACAGGGTGGGAAAAGGACTCTGTTTTTAATTGGGAAACGGGATGAAGGCCTGCGATCCTTGAGGAAAGTGTGACGGAAACCACGACGGAGCATGTAACAAATGCATTAAGGACAATTTGTATGAAAGGATGCATAATTGAGAATAAATAGTAAGTAGTAATTGAGAAGAAGACATAAAATTCTAATCGCAACCTGACGGGAATCGAACCCACAACCCCTCGCTTATGAGCCGACACTCTACGACTGCACCAAAGAGGATACTTGCGAAGAGGAAGTGCTAGCTGCCTCCATCTCTACCTGTCGTTCGAATGGAGAGTGTACCCGTCAATTGTTCCTGCCAGAGCTGCTCGGCACTCCTACATCTTTGCGCACTCTCCTCTTCTTCAGATTTTACTTGTATAACAGAGTAATTAAAAAAAAATGCAAAGTTCACCGCAATTTTCGAAGAATGCTGCAGAAGCAGATTCTATGTATACCGACTTCATCCGTAGGATTGAGACTGCATCGTTCTTGCTGGTTACGTGACGGTGGTCTCAAGTATCTCGTTGAGCCCGTACCTGAGCATCTACCTGTGCGCCACCTTTTCTCCCAGAAACAAGTGGTGCAGCAGTTGAGGTCCGAGCTGGAGAAGAAGCAGGGTTCGGCGGTGCTCAAGCTTGCCCACAATGCTCAGGTGCTGCCGCGAGCCGTGGTGAGCGACTCCCACTCCTCTCTGTGTTCTTTCCTCCCCGTATCCTGACCTGTTGCTACCCTGTTTGTATTCTGTTGTGTCCATATCCTGTCTGTATCTGCGTCCTTTCCGTGTCCAGCCCTGTTAGTATCCTTTTCATATTCTGTCATGCCTGTGTCCTGTTTGTGTCCCATTCATATCTGTGTCCTTTTCGTATCCGCCCCTTGTCAGTATCCTGTCCGTATTTTGTCTGGCCAAGGCTGTAAACCCGTTTAGCCCGCAGCCTTGGCCGGTACAAAGTATCAAAAAGTAAAGTTTGTTTGTAAAGGCTCGCATGGCGAAAAGGGGGTCTGCCGCAAAAAAGATCAAGAAATGCTTGGTGCTTTTTCAGCTTCCGGTGGCAGCATTAAGTCTGTGCTCCGGAGCATGAGAGTTTGACGCTTCGTTTACTACATGGACGAAAACACCACCTGAAACCGACACTCGAGTGCACTCTTTGTGCATTGAGTTTTTCCCGGTGTGCGGGCCACTTCTTCGTCCTCCATGATGTCATTTACCCAAATGAGATGGCTGTGCTGCCAGAAAAGTTGTCAAGATCAGTAGACAGTTGAACCGCGGCTCTTTTCCAGTCGAAGAATGCTTAGATCAGGTAGTAAAGAGGATTTGATTGGAGATCCAAGACATGAAATGGCATTCTAAAAAGAGTTTGTTTATACGTCGCACCTGAAAAGGAATTAGCACGCATCTACTGAACGGTGGTTGCCAATTGGACACGTGTTGTGATTGCAACCATGGTTGCAATCACAACAATTTCACTGAGCAGCGGGGCCACTTTTACGGGAACCAACATTTTTATTCAACACCAAGTCGCGCCAAGCAACAAATGAAGCCAGATCAAGCAACATAGTTGACGTGGGACGCTGAACTTAGGTCAGTCCTGCAACAAATCCCATCACCCATCCGCTCAGCCCGGTGCTTCCGAATGTGCATACTTGGTTGCTGCAAACTAGGTCAGTGTAGGTCTTCCTCTAAACACCTTGGTGTATGCAGAACGACTCGTCGCACTTGCAAAAATAGACGAACGAGCTATGCTCATTGAGCATGCAGCAAGTGCTGGCAGCCATGCTTGTTGCATCTGCTTCAGACGGAGCAACTTTCTCGGCAGTTTTGGGCTTGCTGGTGGGTTGTTCCCTAGCTTTCCCTAGATTGACGCGAATTGCTGACGTCAAGTCTGGCTCGAAACAAGCGAGCAACTCTGAGCAACTCAAAGTCATTTGAAGCGGTAGCAGCCAATCAGGGACGCAATATTTTCAAGCGACACGCCTGTGCCGGTGATGATGACAACTACAGACTTTCTTCTGGTTTGAAATGGATCGTTTTCGGGAATAAACCATTTTAAAAAGATGGGTTAGCATTCTCAACGTCATTTAAAGGTATAAAAACACTCTTATAGTAAGTGAATGTGCGTCAAAATGGTGGGAGAAAAACAAAGTTTAATGATGACGATGGCAAATTGCAGCAATTAGTTGCTGCCTTTGAATGCGGACGGCCCGTGTTACTGGTGTGGAGTCATCAAGTTACTGGGAGAAAATGCCCCATCTGAAGCGGGCCTTAATTTTTGAAAGCCGAAGCGGAAAGGCAATCTTGGAATATTTTTGAACACGGTAATGACTCTACCTATGTTGTTTGTCTCTCAGACATAAAAATATTTTCGTTAAAAATGCTATTACGGCAGGGGGAGACAATTTTACAGCCAACATTTCACACCTCAATCATCTCTCCAACCAATGAGTTGTGAGGGGACAATCTTAATGTTTTTGCAATTTTGTCCATCTTCTGTTTGGGCGCTCTCTCGATATTTTATGGTATAGTTGGCGTTTGATCTACGATATCTCTGGTTCTGCAGAAATTAAGGTGCCCCTTTGATCTACCATCCTAACGTTCCAGATGCAATAGGCTTAAAGGGATTGTCCGGTCGAAACCGGAAGTACTTAAGTTGTTGCGCTCGTTACATCGAGGGAGCCTTCATATAGACAAACGACATTTTTATTTTGGTATATGATCTCCCGTTATTAATTAAACCTTTCATGAGCCTATGTACGAAACTGCACCCCAAATTTCGCCAGTGTCAATGGCTGACATCCGTAGGTGCTGCGTGACGTCACAAAACACAAAGGTTTGTCGGATGGTGGGGATAACAAGCGTTGGTCGACGGGTGTCTTGTATTTTGTTTCGAATTATATAGACCCCTAGGCAGTACCCTACTGAAACACGGTTCTTTTAATGCGGTTCCCAAGCACGTGCAGAAAAAGTCCCGCCTTATAGCAGGATATTACTTGCAGACAGCCATAAGCTTCGAGCAAACGTATGCTGTTTCGCGCAAACACAACTGCGACGGACGCCGATCGAACTAGGGCGCGCTTGCAAAGCAAAGGATGCAGATTTCGCCTCTGAAGTGGCACAGCTAGGTACACGAAGCGGCATCTGGGCACATATTTCGGCGGATCCACTGGATCGGTGATGAGGCTGCGGGTCGTTCCCCCAGAGGCGATGTCCGCGGGCCGAAGGCAAACGGCGAACCGTTCAAATGCATGTCGTCACTTGACTTGGACGAGCTTGGTGAATCGTAGCCACGCTCCATTTTCACACGCGGGTCAAACAGATATCGGGCTGCACGCGTGTTAAATACAAGTTCTGGTATCATTTCGAGATGGCCTAGATGTTGGTTTCGGTTTCGCTGCATAATCAAGGTCTGTTCGATTCGGCCAGGAAGTTCTGGTAGCGGCAAAAGCCCCTCAAAGAAAATGTTTGCATTTCGACGATAGGTTCGCGGCACCAGGATGATTTTACGTCGGGAGTCGCTGGCGGCAGCGCGCGGTCGGCATACCGGTCACCCCGAAGAGGAAGGCCTGACGGTAGCGTCTTGTTATTGACCGTAACTTCGGCGTCAAGTTGAAGCGAGAATCGGCAAAAATGGCGATTCTCGGCGTTTTGCCCAGGCCCGTTAGCGGGCGTCCACAAATACCAGCGGACAAAGCATGCAGTATTATGCTCAGCTACGGGGACATGCGAGTGTCAACGCACTAAATCCAGACCTCTGAAATGTATCGGATCTTCAGTATGCATCCAAGAGCAACTGAAGGCGGGGACTATCATGAGGGCAATACCTTTCCTGTGTCTGTAAGTAAGAATATCAACACTGTGGATCTCCGCATAGCATCGAAAAGAAACAATTTACGTGAGCCAATATTTCAACACTCACCACAGGGAGCCAAACCTACGCGAGCAGGTGCCCAAAACGCTTTCAGAATATCATAATCAAGCAAATTCCTACCCTCGGTTATGATCTCAATTCCGCATCCACCGCGGGTACGTTATTGTCATAAATGAGAGGAAATGCAACCTCCGTATCGGCGTTATTGTTAAACATTGCACATTTGAGCAAGAGCTGCGAAAAATGGTACCACGAGCAGAGGCGGACGAGGAGTGTCGTCTGCTATCGCCGTCTGCTCGTCTGCTCTTGTCGTCTGCCTCTGCACGGACGCTGAACTAGTTCAGCCAGTTCAGGGGAATCGAACAGACCTAAATTGACTGGCCCGATTTGGGCGAGGAGTGGGTGGACGTAGTTCAATATCGTTGGCACCAGCATCACACCTCAGCTTACAACCCTTCTGTCCGCTTAGAGCTCAGCTCGTAGCTTTCTTCTGTGAGATGATTGCTGCATAAGCGAGATCTCGGTCTTGACGGGAACCCAGTCCCTACGCACGACGACGATCCACTTTGCTTGTCACTGCACGTCTCGCGGAAAAGTGCGGAACGTCATGTCTTGGCTCGCATGTGCTGCCCGGTGGGTATGGCACCCAACCGTGCAACAAAAATCTCACCCAACCACGAAACAAGTCGAGCACAACAACAAAAACCAGTGACAAAAACGAAGCACGCTCAGGCGTTCACTCTCACAGGCAATCGACGAGACAAAAATGCTCGCTTTGTGTTTTGTGACGTCAAAGCTCCAATGTTGCCAACGAAAACCGCGTTCACGCTAGAATGCGATTGGAGCAGTATAAATTCAATTACTCACGCAGAGGGCCATATAAAATTCAGATATTGCACGTACGATGCGTCTCGAGGCAATAACAATGATATTCAATTGTTTTCTCGAATACAAAATTTGACCGGACAATCCCTTTAAGTGATGCACGGCATAGACAAACCTGGGCACGAGCGCCATTTTGCTCAGCAGGGCAGCATTAGCCCGCCAAATGTAGCCGAACACTGTACGGCTACATTTGGCTGACGACGGCACGGTATGGCGGCGCAACGCAGAACACACTTTAAGATACACTTTTCCGAAATTCTGTCGGTGCCCGCCGCGAGGGCGGCACAGAGATGGCGTCCTCATTCCGACTCGCTCACGTTCCTGCAGCAGCCGAGCACGGGGCCGGTGAAGCTGCAGGGGGCCCTGAAAGGGGGCGGGACTGCGGCTGTGCTCCTCCCCCACCTCGTGGTGGTGCCGGGAGGCCCCTCCCCCCGGCCCCGGGAGGCCCCGCTGGCTCAGCCCATCCGGGTGCCGCAGTACCCGCCCGCCTCCTGCAGCCAGCGCAACTCCGTCGCCAACGTGAGTGGGCAGCACCGTGTCGCGGGAAACTCCCTATTTCTTCCCATTTGGTGCAATCCAGTTATAACGGTTTCACATAGAACGATGTGCCGCTAATATTTGTCTCTGGAGGATCTTGAATTCTTTCATTGGGTATTTTGTTTTGTTTGGAATTTCGCACAATACGAAATGTAGTATCAGACTGCACTTCCTACATGAACAACTGTGACGGAACTACGCAAATATTAAATACGCTGGTATCAAACGGAAAGTATTGTTCTTTGCAAGATACCTTTCTACCTAGACCAGAATAGCTTTTTTTCTACTTTTTTCAGTTTAGTGTTTTATTTAAGGAGTTTGACATTGCCGTTTCCATACCTGCCAAGTCTCCCGTATTACCCGGGAAACTCCCGAATCTCGACCGATTTGTACGGTTGTATGATTGACAGAAAAATCTCCCAGAAAATGCAAAATACCCCTTCCCCCTTTCTGCACTTAAACAAGGAGTGTTTGCTGTTGCAACAAACAGCTTCAATGATAGCAACGCCCAGCTGTATCTCGGTAGCATGAGCAGTGTAATATAAACAAAATGAAGTTGTCTTTATGTAAATTTGTTTTCAATATTTATTTTTTAAAACTCCAAACCCCCCCCCCCCCCCCCCCCCAATTGGAAATTCTCCCGGATTTAGTGTCTCTGACCTTGCCGGGTATCCATTTCTTGTTTGTTTTACTACTAGTTCACCAACTCTTGTTGGTGTACTGGCTTCTGATTTCTGCACATGAGCAGTGCCTTGTGGGCAAATGCATACTTGTTTAATGACCCGGTTAGTCTGTACTACGTAGAGTTCCGCATTCTCGGATAGATTAAAAAAAATACTCGGCAGTAAATTTTTCATAAATTCAGAATTATCTGAAAAGTGCAAAATTCTGAGGTCGCGACTACAAAATAAAAATAAAGAAAGACGGTGTACACATGTTTTTACGAAGCAAATAAGCTTCGTAAAATCACGGGGTCAGTGGTCCTGAGGAGATGCCTCTTTAGTTTCCTTTGAAATCTCAAACTACCAATGAAAGTGTTTTGCCTTTTATCTCGTCAAGGTTCCTTCAGGACAACGGGTCATGGTACCCATATTTTATTTATTTTGTTGAATTCAAAAAAAAAAAAATATTGGGAACGCAGTAAAATAAATTGAATTTCGGAGAATTGGGAATGTAACAAACACCGATAAACCCCAAATTTTCGGCTAATGATAAACTCTGAAAAACGCCCTCCGAATTTCACGATAAATAACCTTCAGAATCCTATTTATACGGGACGACCTGGAAACTGCCGACCGTGACCGTCTGCCCTCCCCACAGAACGTCGGCTGCCTGCCTCCCCCCGCGGTATCCAGGGCTCCCAAGTCCTGCGTCACCGTCATGGTGGCCACCAACAACAGCAACAACGCCGGCACCCCGTCGGCGGTGCCGGCCCAGCCGGCCGTTCCGGCGGCGACGGCTGCCCCCGCGGGTGTTGCCAGGAGCCAGGCGACGACCAGCGGGGTGGTATCCGGCACAATCGCCATCCCCTGCAGGGTGCTGCCCCTGCCACCTGCCACAGCGCCGCCGGCACCCAGGGTGACCAAGGAGGACCACAGGGTGGGTCCCCATCACCTTTCTCGGAGGGGGCTTGCTGGCATGGGGTTATGCGGAGTGCAAGTTCGTCTGCTTCTTTTGCCGGGCGTTGTCGCGAAGTGAGAATGCCAAGCTCTGATTGGCTCTGATTGGAGGATAAAGGGTAATCCTCAAGGCCAGCTGGTTTGAGGTCTACTCGCTATCTTTCAATCAGAGCTCATCTTTCTGACGTCACCACAACCGCGGGCAAAAGAAGCAGACAAACTTGCGCTCTGCATAGAATGATCTGCCGGGTGAGAAAAAGGAAAGCCAGTTTTTCTCTGTGCTTACCTAAACCGAGCATTGCAGAAAGCTGAAACTCTCAGAATGGGATGCTAGTGCCAGGGGGATTAATGTTGAGGTTTGAGAGTGACCTTTCCTAGATCAAGAAATGAAAGTGAAAGCAAAATTTTCTACGAGCTCAAGTCCATTTAAGCCTAATTTCGTCAAAACAAAGGTGCCTGTGTCATTTATTTCAGCGAAACAAACTTGTCAGCAAGATCTACATTACATACCTGCCATGTCTCCCGTATTACCTGGGAGATTCCCGAATTTTGGCCAATTTGTTCGGTTGTATGATTGACAAAAAAAACAACTCCTGGAAAACGCAAATTTCCCCCTACCCGCAGCAGTTACATGCAACAAAGAGCTGCAATGATAGCGAAGCCCAGCTGTTTCTCACTAGGATGAGCAGTGCGACATAAATGTAATGAAGTTGTCTTCATGTACATTTGTTGTCAATATTTCTTTTTAAAAGACTGCAACCTTCCCCCACCCCCCGCACTTAGAAATTGTCTCGGATTTGGTTTCTCCGAACTTGGCAAGTATAACGATATTTCTCGCTGCCGAGTTTTGTGCACAAAAAGAAATGGCACCCACAGTTTACTTTCCTGTTTTGACAAAATTGGGCTTGGAGGTCGACGTGCAGAATGGTCTTCTGCCGAGAAGAAACCGGTTCCCAGTTGCCCTCTCTCCGTTCCCTCTCACACACTTCTCTTCTCCTGAACCCCAAAAAGCGGGTCTCTCTCCCGCAGGGAAGGAGAACATTCTCCCTCTTGCTCGAACGGAAAAGGAATCGGGGGAGGGTTTCCTCCTTTCTGGCAGTTTGTCGACATTTATTCATTGAAATGCCTTAAAGACCCCCTGGGAAATATTGCCTAAGGGTTGGGTTACAAAAAGGAAAAGGTACAATATCACAAAAACAGGTGTGCATCTAAAAACAGAACAAAACATCAATAGGATAAGCATACAAACACGAAAATATACTTAATAAGACCTAAAACACAATTTCACGTAATGGCTTTTCTTAAGTTTGCGTGGGTCATGGGTAGCTACAATGTTCTGGGGAAGTCCATTTTAGTGAGTGGCTGTACGTGAAAACAAGGAGTTCTGAATAGTGATGGTTCTTGCCTTCGGGCAACTTACATCAAGGTTATGGTCCATACGATGCTGGCAGTGTTCTGGAGGATCGATGTAGAATGATCTGAGGCACGGGCTGTAGAAAAACTGGTTGAAAAGAGATAACCTAGCAAGTTTGCGGCGCTCAGAGAGGAGAAGGAAATTAGCACGGGTTCGAAGCGATCACGCTTGTAAAAGAAGTGGAATCTGAGTAAAAGAAATGCCCGATGCTGGACTGATTCAATGTCATTGATGAAGCAGGTTTAATGCGAGTCCCAGATGTAACATGCATATTCAAGTTTTGGTCTGATAACGGATGATTAAGCAAGCCGTTTTAGATGAGGAAAGGCCAGTTTCAAGTTGCACTTCCAAAAAAAAAAGGGGAGTTGCGAGGTCGAAACACCAAGTTTATTTTTCGTATCGTCAATTGTTTTTTTGGTTTTTTTTTTTGCTCGCTCTATTATTTTTGGACATCCTACTAAAGAAATCAAAACAATATTCAATGGTGAAGTTAAGGAATTATGTGTCACATTAACCCACGGTGGCTCCAAAAGTTTAGAGTTTTTTTTTGTGAGTATTGGCCATTTCAAGAGGCTGTTGCTCGGGACGGCGGCACTTCTTTTGTTTCTGCGACTCAGTTTGTCATAGACAACACTAAACGTGTGATTTTCGCGTTTGAAACTGCAGAAGCAAGTGTGAGTTTCAAAAACGTGGTTCAAACGCGAGCGGAGAACACCCATGAAGGAACATGTATCGTGGCCTGTTAAGCCTAAACATTATAACTGCGACCGTTTTGATGCAATCGATGCTCCGTTCACGTTTGTTGGAACTACAGCCAAGAAGATTGCGTCCTTTGAAAACAAATGCACAACATGTTGCTGTGAGAGTTGAGTGATGCACAACATCGGTGCGCTAACGATGCCCGTGAGTGGTGCTACCTGACCCGCTTGTTACGAGTGCAGATTCTCTACGCGTCACGAAGTCTGCTACAAAACAAGAGGGTTTTTCATTGTCCCTCAAACTACACCATGAAGAGCAAGTGCCTTGTGGGTTCTTTCTTACTTTCGTCGAAACGTACCGCACGAGACTGAGATGTACAAGCGCAAAGCGAAGCTGCGACAGCGGGAGCTCGTGCAAGTTTTGCTGTCAACTTGAAACCCGTCAACTTAGGAGCTTCTGCTCAATTATCAACCCGCTTACACCGACGCATCACGAGACAATCCCTAGCAAGTTTATGCCTCTGCCATGAAAACTGTCAACCAAGGCCTCGTGATGAACGAAATGCCGATGGGGGGTGGTAACAGCTAATGTAGCTGTTGTCTGAAGGCGCATGGTGCGAGAGGGGCTGCAAAAGTCGCAGCATGCAGCGTGGTACGGTTTTAGTTACTCCGGGTGTTTTCTGAACACCCTACTTATGTTCTTGCCATATTTCATTGTTCTTGTTTTGCAACTTTGGGTTGTATTCGCAGTTCGTGCACTCAGTTTTTGGTACCTGGCATCTTCCGATAACAATACAGAAATGTTACGTATTATTTTGAGGATACGCAGGCGTCGTTCTCAATGTCGTCCTAGGTGTCGTCCTCGCCGTCGTCCTTGGCTGGCTTTCGCCTTCCTACATGTAAGCTGTCTTAAGTGTACTCGTGTAGTTTTTGCAGCGAGGGGCAATGAAGCAGAGATGACTTCCCAGTCAGCAATGCTCGTTTATATCCTGCCATGGGTAACTGGACGCATTTACACCCAGGTCATCGTTGATCCGAGCACTACTATTGCAAGGAGTAGGCTATCTTTCGAAGTTCGGAGAGGAAAATAGCGTACAGTAAAACCTCCTTAATATGTTTTTCAGGGGACCGCGAAAAAAAAAAAGTATCATCCGGGAAAACTTTACAACTGATAGCAGACTTAGGGTGCTTTACATGAGATTGAAAGCAGCTCTTATACAATGGTTTATTTTATGTGTAGTTACAGAACTACTATTGAGGACTCAGACATGTTCACAAAAGCGCGTAATATCCACTTGCAGCCTCGAATTAATGTTAAGCAGTAAAAGCCGTTTCTCCAGGAGCCGCAGTCCTCTTTAGCTCTCCGCGCCGTGGTAAACATTTACGTAGTGGCGCAAGGAGTCTAATGCAAACGTGGGCGCAGCGTATTCATTCATTTCTTGCTCGACATCTTCATCACTTTCTTTGTTATCGGCAGTAGTGAGGTCGGCCATGATGTCCGCTATGCTCTGCGGTTCAGAGGTAACTACGTTGTCGTCAAGCGACGCATATTCACAGTAGGTGATGGGAGCTCCCATTTATGCCTTAGCATCTTCCATTTCTTGCGAGTCTTCAGCATCTTCGTCAGCGCTGTCTTCTGCTAACGCCTGTACTTGCCCCGCGTGTTGAAACCCGCACTTGTGGAAGCAGTGCTGCACAGTGGTAGCAGAGACAGTGTCCCATGCTGTAGCGAGAAAGTGCAGAGCTTGGTTGGGGCGTCACCTCGTTCCACCATGGCAAGCGATCGCCGGACAATCCACTTCTGGTGGAGCTGCTTGACGTTTTTTTATTATGCCTGCGTCGAGCGGCTAGAGGTGACTCGTGGCAATCGAAGGCAGATACTCCATCCGGATGTTCCTGAGAAACGACAAGTCCTTTGGGTGGGCTGGGCAGTTATAGATGGAACAGGAGTGCCTTTCTGTTTCACGACCCCATTCGTGAGTCAAGGCATCGCAGAAAAGCCTCAAAAAGAGCACTTCTTGATCACCTACAGTTTCATTTCTGACCCGTCGTCATTGCAACACAGTAGAACAGTAAGCCGGTCCTTGCTACTCTTTCCTCTGTGGCAGGCTTCACCTTTAAGGCTCAATGACTTCGTGGGCTGGATATTGAAGAAAAGACCAGCTTTGTCAGCATTCAAAACGTCGCGTGGACAAGATTGGATCAACGCTGTCAGCTTCACCGCTCACTGCAGGGTACGAAATACCATAGCACTTCTTGAAGCAGTCAACCCACCTGTTGGAACACGTGAAGTCCGCGATATCCAAACAATCTGCAATCTCTTGCACCTTTGCTCGCAAGATGCCTCCGTCGATGTGACACAAGATATCCGGGCCTGTTTGGACCATACAGTAGACTCTCGGTAATTCGAAGCTCACAGGGACAGCAAAATGCTTCGAAATAAGCAAACTTCGAATTAAAAAAGCACATATAAAACTGAGTTTATTTTATTCAGTATTCACTTAGGAGAAGAACTGGTCGATCTTAGATTGTTTTCGCTGACGCATCCGCGCCACCGTCACTCGGCTCTGCAAGTTACGTATGCATCGTAAGCCGTCTTTGGCATTTTCTTCGCCCGAGAAAAAACGTTTTACGACGCCCAATGCAGTTTCCGCATGAGTGGCACTCAGCGCGGGAACCGACGGTGGCGAGAGTTCCTCGTCGTCAGTCATCGTCACTTCCTTGCACCACCACACCAGGCCTAACCACTTTGATTAATTTGACGTCCGAAAGCGGACCAGAGACCTTGACGTGCTTGTCAACATCAACATCTGCTTTGACGACTGACTCTCTTCGATTTCTTGCAGCATCTTAACTTTGGTAGCGAGG